GGCACATAACAACAACATGGGATAGTCAGGATTCTTTTCTAACACCACAATTAAAAGGCATCAATTCTTCTGTTATCCTTATTTACTGCTGACTTTATAATGCACAGAAAGTATGCATAGAAAGACCAATGGTTTGGCTCAAGTACACTTTAGTTTTTAAATTGACATCATTGCTCTTTAGCACTTTGAAGAGGTCTTTGACAGCAGATTTTCTCAGTGCAACTCATCTTTTGATTTCTTGACTGCTTTTAGCATGGGTGTTGATTGTGTATCCAAGTGAAATTAAATAGTTTACAAGTATAGTCAGAGGCTCAGAGTGATTAAATGTCTTAGGGCCACACAGCTAGTAAGTGAGAACTGTGATTTGGACTCTGACTTATTTGACTTCAGAGCTGAAAACTATTGCTCCCATAATAATGCTGACTCATTGTATATAAAGAGAGCTCATGAATTATTTGATGGCTGTTTTTGAGAGATATTGTGTCCAAGTTGCTGTGTCAAGTACTACAGGAAATTCTAGAAGAAATGAGATTTTACCCTCAAGTGAACAACTGTTTATGTAATCATAGACGGTATCAGAGATCAGTGCCAGTAAAGAGACAGAACATATTGCGAGGTTTCAGAGGGGATAGAATACTGAACTATTATGTAAGTTTCCTGGGGTGGCTGTAACAAATTGCCCCAAACTGGTGACTTAAAGCAACATAAACTTATTTCCTCATAGCTTTGGAGGTTAGAAGTTCAAAATCAGGGTGCTGTACTCCTTCTGTAGTCTTTAGGGAAGGTTTCTTCCTCATTCCTTCCTGGCTGCTGGTGCCTCCTGGCAATCTCTGATGCCCCTTGACTTGTCTCTGTCCCCATCGCTGCACCTCTGTACATCACTACAGTCTGTCCCCATTTCCATATGGCCACCTTCCCCATGCCTCTGGGTTCTCATATCTTCTAATAAGGACCCCAAGTTATTAGACTTGGCTCCTACCCTGATCTAGAATTAGATCTAGAATCTAGATTAGATTAGAATCTAAATCTATACTCTGAAGTTTTCCTCTTAAGATTTCCAATTAATTACTTCTACAAAGGCCCTGTTTCCAAATAAGGTCACACTTTGAGGTTCTGAGTAGACCTCAAAGAGTTTTGAGGGATACTATTCAACTCACTATAGAGGCCTAGGAAAGATTTTGGTCAAAGGAACATTTGAGGTAAGTCTTCTAAAATGGATACAGTTTGGGCTTGGGGAAAGTTAAGAGAAGGACTTTACAGGTAGAGGGAACATTGAAAGCTACAGAATCTAAAAGTGACCATTGGTCTAGAGAACAAAATATTTTGTTTGTTGAGAACACAGGACTTGTAGTAGGGAGGAAGGAAAGCCTACAAAGGTGATTAAGCACAGACCCCTGGGGACCTGAATGCCCGGTGTGTAACTGGTTTCCTTCTGCTTAGGGTACCTGATAAGGGCATTAATGATGTCTTGTAGGGCATGGTATGATCCAAGAGTTTCAGAAGACAGAGTTTGGCCATGACGGGCAGAGAGGCTGGGTGGAGAGAGGCTTGGTGTGTTGTTGTTGTTGTTTTTTACCATCAAGTTGGAACAGACTCAGAGCTGGCCATCCGGAGGCCCTTTCAGATGCAGTTAATCACATGGGAGGAGACTGACCATCTTTTTCTTGCAGAGCAGCTGGAGGATTTGAACCCAGTGCCGTTAAGTTGGCACTGCAATTCCTTGCCACCACGCCACCAGCACTCCCTCTAGATGGGGTAGCTTCTCATAAAGAAGGAGGTGTTGGGACAGCATCACTCACAATCCATTCTGAGTGTTCACATGTGTGCTATTTCTTCTCTAGGGAGTTCTGGTGGCCTAGTCGCAAGAAGTTGAGCTGAAATCCCAAATGCACAGGGTTCGAGGCCACCAGCTTCATGGGAGAAGGATGGGCAATCTTGTCCTGTCTGATTAACTGCCTCTGAAAACCTGCTGGAGGGTCTGCTATGGCGCGGTTCCGACTCTGTGGTTCACAACAACAATTCCTTCTCCCTGAAATGACCCCTTCCTTTTTTCCGGCCCATTTTTGCTGTTCTCATCTTTAATGACAAACACTTCTAAAAAATTTCCTTGATCTCTAGACCAGCTAGGATCTGGTTCCTCTTTGGTAAATTGACATGTGTCATATATCACATTGTATTGTCACCACTTGTTTAATGTTATATGACCTGGAATATAGCAAGTTTCTTGAAAGCAGGGACTGTGCAAAATTGCTTTTCACTTGAGCCTGCTTAGTGCCTGGCATGCAGTAGATCCTCAGTAAAGATGGACCACGTGAGAACACAGTGAAGTACGTCAGTGATTGACTGACTAGACTATAGTTCAGCTGATTTCAGGATTCAACCATCTGAATAGAGGCCTGTAGACAGGGAGGGCTCTCTGCTCACTGTTATTATTAAGGTTTAAACTACACTAAGTGAGATACAAGCCCGGGGGCTGCTGATCACCACCCATGTGCCAGTTTGTACTGGGGCAACGTGTGTGTTGCTGTGATGCTGGAAGCTACACCTGGGATTTCAAATACCAGCAGGGTCACACCCATCGGTTCAGCAAAGCTTCTAGTTCAAGACAATCTGGGAAGAAAGATCTGATATTCTACTTCTAAAAGTTAGCCAGTGCAAATATTCACAACAGAATATTGTCTGATAGAGTGCGGGAACCTTCCGGGTGGGAAGGCAGCATGGACATAAGTGTGGTAGCAATCACATTGTGTCTGGAGTCTCCATGGGTGGGAAACAACTTGATGGTAGTTGGCACCAACAACCATGTTGGTAGATTGGAGCTATGAACAAAACCCCACAAATAGTCATTGAAAAGGATAAAATAGTTTGTCCTCTTCTAAGGTCCCCAAACCCAGCCTCTCCAGCTCAAATAGAGGGTAAGTTGTCGTTCAGTAACAGCAGCTGGGAAAGACCTGGAGGCTTCAGGAGCAGAAATCTCACAGTGATGGAGCAGTCAGGCCATCCCTGGGGAACCCTGGGGTTTGTTGTTGAGGAGGGAGTTGGTTAAATTGGGTGGTCAGACTAGGAACTAGAAAAATCCCTGCTAGATGTTTGCTCATGGTTATCTTTCCTCCCTGATTCCTTCTACTTCATCTTACCACTTTCTGCCCAGACCTCTCACCCTTGTGGTCAAACCCATTCCTTCCTCTACCCCTTTCTGTGGCCCTCTACTTCGGGTTCTTTTACCTCTTGTCCCAGAGGAGAAGGCCTGGTGGGGCCCTGGAGAGGGAGCTCTTTGCCCTCTGTGTACTCGTTGTTGACCTCTGCATTGGGTTGTTGCAGCCCAGGAACTACCCCGATTTACTTTCCCTTTGGCACTGATCCCATTTCTAGACTGGAGATGACTGGGTAGTGGTCAGCCTTCATGAGTTCTTTCTACCTGCCAGATACTGTTCTAAGTGCTTGATCAGCTCCGTATAGCAACCCCACAAAGATGATCATTTCATAACATTCAGTTTGTGCATGATGGGCCTGAGGAACAGGGAGGTGGGTGACTTCCTTCCTCCATATTTCATGTGTATAATGGTCTTGTCATCTTGCCTCTATAGAAGATTGGGGAGAGGACACGGGCTGGGATTCTCCATATTATATTCATTGTGCTTACTCTCCTCATTCTCTGTTTCCCTCTCCAGGAAGGAATGCCTTGTGAGTTCCTCAGGGAATGATAATACAGAGAATGGGTTGCCTGGCTCCAAGGCAGAGGAGAAACCACCCACAAAAGTGTGAGCCACCTGCTTTGGGCCAACAGGCCACAGAGAGCCTTACTCTCTGATGACGAACTGATGCTTGAGCCGTGTCTATAGAACCCACGTGCCTGAGACATCTGCTGCTTGGCTCCAACTGTAGTCTTTTTGGTCAGGGAGAAACTGGGATCCTCCCAGCCTGCTTCACTCCATCCCAGCCCGGGATCTCCAAGGACCAAGGCTGGCAAAGATAAATGGTGGAAGGCTTGGTAAAGAGCAAGATGGATTGGGATGGGGAAGGGGGGAGGGCTCTGTGACCCAGTGAGGGGGTGATGTGGAGGGGCTACATCTTAGCACCTGGATAGAGGGGTCTTCTTCAGTCTCCCCACCTTGTCTGAGCAATACCTGGTTTCCCCCAGATTTCTCTTCAAAAGAGACTTGAGTGGTCAGACAGAGCTTCCCTAGTAGTTAGACACTAGAGGTTGGGCAAAAAGAGTCATGTCGGACCTTTGGGTGGAAACGGGATGGGGTGTGACAGAATAATCTTACAGGATCTGGATGCAGGACTACAGCGAGAGGCAAGCCTTCTCTTTGTAGGGCACGTGATCCCCCACAGTTCCTCCAGAGGAGGAGACATAGCACCTCTTCTTTCCCTAATCCCTGTACCCCTGCTTGACCCTACACACACCCTTGAGTTCTGGAACCTTCCTGACAAGGGCCTCCTGCCTGCTCCTCTGCCTGCATATGGAGGAGCCAATGAAGATGCCCCTCAAAATCTTCCTGGAATACTGAGGGGCTATCAGCCTCTTGCTTTTCTTCTCTGGGAATCAAAGCTACAAAGGTGGGAGAGCCAGTATCCTGGGCTGCTCAGCCATTGGCGTGCCCACCCCAGCCCTTTTAAGCTGACAGCCCCTTGTAGGCATGGCAGGGCCAGTGCCACTCTGGGAACATCTCGCCTGGCTCTCGGCTGTGGCTCCCTCTTTCCTGGTGGCGCTATCCTGCCCTCTCCTGCCTTAGTTTGCTTTTCTGTGCCCCATTCTCATCCCTCTCCTTTCCTCCCACCCCAGGTTGTCCACCCCCAGCCCTGGATCAAAGGCTTTCCTCTCCTTTGGGCCTCTCTTTCTCTGGAGGAGAAGGCTCTTGGGCTTTCTGGCTGCTTCCTGCTCATCTGGGCTGCCCTCTCACCCCAGGATTAGGAGGAGCAGGGAGAGGGCACCCACGCTTTCCCTTTGATGTTCCAAGAACTGGTTTGCACACCCCTGTGTGAGGGGCTAGACTGTGCCTTAGGCCTTAGCGCCCCGAGCCTGGCTTCCCTTGCTTCCTCTTGAGCCTGGACTTCCTGATATAGTGGTTGACTCTGGTGTGGCATGGACCTGGGGTCATTGAGGGGGCAGGGGTAGGGGTGATGAGGTCAGTGCAGCCTCCTTGCCTGGCAACTGAGTCTTGGAGACACCTGCCAAGTGCTTCCCTCAGATGATTTCCACATGGGGGAAGGAGTGGTGTTGAAAGTGTGGGTGAGTGACAGGTAGGAGATGTGATGACTGTCACCTGTTCCCTCTCTGCCATTCTCTTACTGGACTTCTGAGAGTCTATGCTCTGGGACCCTGAGAGGTAGCAGCACCTTTCCAGAGTGCTGGAAACAGTGCCTGTCAGTGTGCCCATGGCCCTGCCTCTTACCTGACCCCAAAGAACATCCCAGTTCCCCACTCAGATATCTCTCAACCCCTCATGCCTTTCTCCATCCAGAACCTATCCTGACTTGGAGTTCAGCCTTGGGAACAGACAGACCAGAGCCATCAGCTATTCAGGGGACTTCTTACAGCTGCCCGCTGCAAAGCTGCTCTCCTCTCCCTTCCCAGCCTAACATCTGAGCAGGCCAAGACTCCTCTTTCCCTCTGACAAGGAGACTAAATTGGCCGGTTCATTTCAGGCTGGAGAAGGAAGATCATTGGGGTCTCTCCTCCTGGATCTACTGCTGACACGTAGGCAGGCCATATATATTCTCTGGGCTCAGTTTTTTTCCATCTCTATAATGGATATAATAATACTTACCTACCTCACAGGACTGTTGTGAGGCTTGGCGAGTTTTTCTTTTCTTGTTTTTTGTTTTGACATATTTTTGGCTTGGAAATGATCTAAGAAGCCATGCATTGTAAGAACAGACATTAAGCCAAGTCTATCCTGTCCTCTTTTCTGTCTCATCCTGCAACACACATATTGCATAACACACACACACACTCTCTCTCACCTCTCAGAAGTTGTAGTCTTTGTAATATACAGAATCTTGACTCAGATGCTTTTAAGGTTCTTGTCTGTGGCTTTTCTCTGATGGCTTCCTAAGGGAACTGACTCCACCTCCAGGATAGACTCTTTGAGTTGCCCTCATGCCTGGGAAGGCACTACTGGTGTTCAGAAATTGGGACCAGGCCTTTCTTTTGCAGTTTCCCTGGCTGAACTCAAACTTCTAACCTTTCAGTTAGTAGCCAGGAGCATGTATTTTTTTTGTACCATACAGGGACTTCAAACCAGGCCCTCAGAGTTCCAGGTTTTGGGTTTCTCCCTGTGTAATCATTTAGCTAAAGGCATCAAGAAGGAAATGGTACTAGAGAGGTCTGGAAGAGGAGCCGATGGAGCTCAGATGCTCCCCACAGCTGGCTGAGCAGAGCTGGAGGCCTGCAGAACCTTGTACAAGGAGGGGCGTGTGGGAGCATGCTCCTGAGCTGAGGAGGTGAGAGTGTGTGTCGCATGAGGGTGTGTGGGGGAGTGTGTACATATATGCGGCAGTGCAGGGGTGTGGAGGTGTGATTGTGGAGTAGGTGGGCCATGTAAAGAAAGGGTGATGTATGCCGTGTGTGTTAAGACTGTTAGCTTGACCTGAGCGAGGCTCAGGATGTTTCAGAAGCCATCTTTCCTATTCTTTATAAGACAGGATAATAATAGCAATCATACTTCATAACTCCATGACTTCTCATCACTCTTGCAGACAACTGCCACGGGGTGGGGTGAGCCTGTTGGGTGGAGGAGGTGTAAGGACTTCTCTGGAAGGTCCCACAGCTTGCTTCACTATGCTTTGTCCCAGGTTAGAGACCTACTCTCCCACTTCCCACCTGATATGCAATGCTTCTGACTATCTTATGCATGGTTTTTCCTCCTGGCTTGGATGATGACAATATCCATAGTCAACTTTCCTATTTAATCCTAAATCAAGAGGATACAGCAATGGGCCTTGGGTGGGGGGCCTCAGACCCGGGGGCCTCTAAGAGGCACAAATGGGCACATGCCCAGCACTGACTAATATTCAAGCACAGAGTGGATGTGATCCGACTGTTTTGCCTTTACAACATGTTTTGCATTGTAGAATTCTATTTAGCTTTGCCTTGGATGAAATAAAATTATGTTTAATAGAGCCGGTTTGGAGTTTCCATTTTTGTTTGACTGGAAGGTTGATTCTAGTTTTATAACTTGCCATCGGCAGTTTGGACAAGTTCCTGAGTTTCTTTGCTTCTCTAGGCCCCGGTCTTCTCGTGTTTACACCATTACCTGCCTAGGTAAGATGACACCAGTGAAATGTGTGAGGGTCTGGCATATTTATAGACATTCAGCTCATATTAGTTCTGAGGCCTTCTTTGGGGAAGCTGGAAAGGTGACTCATTAGTATTAGCTTATTGCCAGTGCCACCCTGTCCTGATGACCTTGGCAAGGCTTCTGGTACCAAGAAATGTCACGACACTCAGCATCCCCTCCCCTCAGCCTCTGCCCCAAACACCCTCACAGGTTGGCATGTGTAGCTAAGTGAAATCTTCTTCAAATGAACAATATGTGCAGCTTTAAAGAGAAAAAGGCATAAAACAGCTTAACTGCCTGAAGAACAAGCAGGGCCAACTGAGTTTTCTCCTTCCCCTTCTGAGGATCGGGGTACATGGGAAGTGAGGGAGGGGGAAAGCTCCGGCTTACACCTGGGACGACTCTACCAGGTATGTTGTTCACTTTAAATCGTGTGATCACAGACTCTCAGGCACTCCTGCCTTCACAGGAGGGTTTAGACATAAGGCTAGACATAAGGCTAGTTAGGAAGGAGTGAGGAATATGCATGAGTACATGTGTTTGCCTGTGTTCTTAAGACTTTATGATAGCACAGTTTCTCACCATGCTGTATCCCTCTCTTCTGTGAACTCACCTCAGACTGCATTTCAAAAAGTTTTACATACTAAGCATTTAAGGGATCTTATTGAAAGACTCTTGTCAATCAAGGAATGCTCAGGAAGGCATTTCAGCAAAAGTCTTGCAAGTCCTGCTTTCTCCCTCCTTGAGCTGTAATAATTGTGCTTTGTGTTCTTACCTTGAATGAACTTCTCACCTGACACCCCCATGCTTCCACTCACCTGTCTCCAGGTACTACTTATTGCCTGGTACCGCCTACTGCTTTCTCATCACCTATGTTGTTGTTGTTATATGCTGTCAAGTTCCCTACAACTCATGTCCTGAGCCAGTCTCACCGACCTTGACACATCCACCCCCATTGTCCCAGTTACTGTGTCTATCCACCTCATCAGGGGTTTTCTCCTGCACTGTCCCTCCACCCTTCCAAGCATGATGTCCTTCTCCAAGACCCATTAAATATTAAAGTTTCCTGACCCACATTTAAGCTTATGACACCTTGGAAATACTGTGTACTGGATGTGACCCATGTCAGGGTCAGCTCCACGGCGTGGCTGTCTCCCCATAGTTGACCTGTTTCCTCTTTACTCCTTTTTTCTATCTAACAATCATTGCAACTGTATGCGACCAACTGTGTCAAACCTGAATTAGAAACACAGACAGTTCTGGATAAACCTGGACATAATAAGGTCATCCCGTTAGGTGATATACAAGCCCTGTGTTGACTCAACAAAGACTAAGAAAAAAAACAACAACCCACCAATCAATTTCTCTTGCTACTGGCAAGTTGATGCTGACTCACACTGTAGGACAGAGTAAAATTGCTCTGTAAGGTTTCCAAGGCTGATGGTTGAGTGGTTAGGAATTGTGTTGTCAACCCAAAGG